TTTGATGAGAAATTGTCTGATGATTAATAAGTTGTGGCCTTATTGAATTCCTTAGGAGATAAGTATAGGGAAATCACAAATTCGCTAGAGTATGGGAGAGAAGAGCTCAATGTGGACATCATAACTTTAGATATAAGGAATAGAGAACTTGAACTGAATTTGATTTTAATGATGCTAAGAGTGGAGAGGGATTGAATGTGAAAGAAAAAACGAACCAAAATAAGAGTGATAATTTTAATAACTCTTATAAGAATAGGAAAGTACAGAATGATATGTTCAAAGATAAGAACAAGAACAAAGGAAAACCTAAGAATAAGGCCAGGAAATGCTATTACTATGGAAAATTGGTCATTTCATAAATGATTGTTTCAAGAAAACTTTTGAGATGAAAGAGAAATCAAACTCGTTCATGAGTTATTGCTTGTAACAATGACTCTGAAATGCAAGGAGTTGTACTTGTGCCAGAAGAAACTCAAATGAATGGGCTCTTGATTTTGACCACACCTTCCACATGTGTCCCATAAAAGAATGGTTTACTGAATTTGTTGACTTGAATAGTGGAAAAGTTCAAATGGGAAATGATATGAGGGGTGTGTTTGACACCCATTTTGGAGAAGAAAAAATTCTGGAATAGTGATTGATGAGAATTTATGTATTGATTGTGAACGATATAGGGGGTGTTTGACACCCATTTTTGTAGAAAAATGTGTTTTTGAATAGTGATTGATGGAAGAATGTGTGGTTAAAAAGGAAGGAGAATTTTTAGGTTTATGTGTAATATTATTTTATTGATAGAATGTATGGTTAAAATGAAAAAAGAGAAAAAAAAAAAAAGAAAGAGAATGGGAAGAAAATGGATGTCAAACAGGGGCGAGATGTCAAATAACAGGGATTGTGAGACTTAACCTTTTACTGGAAAATAATTCATATTCTTGAATTATCTGAAACTAGGCATGTCCCTAATCTATAAAGAAATCAGATCTCCTTAGGTGAATTAGATGATGAATGTGTATAAGAATTCATAAAGGTTTTACCAAAATCAAATTGAATAGCAATGAAGTTATATCTACTTCTAAAGTAAATGAGATTTTCACTTTGCAGGCTAAACCATTGGTTGGTAATATCTCTGCAACTGTGAATCCCTATTGTGATAAGTCTTTAATCTAGTATAAAAGGCTTTACCATATTAGTGAAAATGGACTTTTAATACTTGACAAACTTGGATGTTTTGGAAATGATAACATTGAAAAACTTGAATTTTGTGAAGAAGTTGTTATTGCAAACAAAACAGAATGCCATATAAAACTAGAAATCATAAATTCACATCTATTCTTTAATATTTACATGCTAATCTTTATGGACCAACACTATAAATACTCTTAGTGGGTTCAAGTTTTATCCACTCACGGTAGATGAATTTTTGAGAAAAATATGGACTTTTTTTTTTAATTAAAGGTTAAATCTGATACTTTTCAAAACTCTAAGCAATGGAAATTGTTGATAGAAAATTAAACCAATAAAAAAGTTAAAGCATTTAGAACAATTAATGGCTTTGAATTCTGCAATTTTGAATTTAATATTTTTTTGTAAAGAATCTGGAATTCTAAAACACAAAACTATAACATATACTCCCCAGTAGAATGGTATAGCTTCGAGGATGAATAGTACCTTACTAGAAAAGTCAGATACATGCTGTTAAGTTTTGGTCTTCCAAGATTATTTTGGGGAGAAGCTTTAAAAACTGCTACATGTCTAATTAACAATATTCCTTCTACTGCCACTAACTTTCAAGTCCCTAAACAAATATGATTTGGAAAGCCTTTAAATTATTCTAGACTCAAAGTTTTATGCTGGTGCATCCTATTTTCATCGAAGTGAATGTAAACTCAAATCTAGATCCTTAAAATGTGTTATTCTGGGCTATAGGGAAGAAACTAAGGTCATAGACTTTGGGTTAGAGAACAAAATGGCATTAAAGTCATTATAAGTAGAAATTTCATCTTCAATGAAAATGACATGCATTGTGTTGTTTCTTCCAAGCTGAAATCTGATGTAACTTCATTAGTTGAGGAAATAGTATTGAAAAATCGAAATGTTGATACTATTGAATCTGATGATCAAATTGAGATGGAGACTTCTCAATTTGAAACAGATAAGGTTCAGTCTGATATTGAAATGAAAACTGATCTCAAATTTTGATTACCAGTTGACTAGAGATAGAAGTAAAAGAAATAGGTTCCCTTATCTAGAATTAGCAAGGATAATTTTATGACCATTTTCTCTGCTTTATACTTTCTTGATTCTAAACCTACTACTTTTAAAGAAGCTGTTAATTGTAAAGAATCTATTTTGTGGAAAGAAGTTATGAAAGATGAAATGGACTCCTAGATCAAGAATAAACTTGGATTCTTGTTAATCGGTTTAAAAATAAAAAAAAAATAGTTGATTGTAAGTGGGCTTATAAAATCAAAGAGTCTGAGTCTAATGTTCAAAATAAGAGATATAAAGCTATATCAGTAGCTAAGGGGTTTACTTAAAGGGAAAACATTGATTATAATGAAATATTTTCACCTGTTGCAAAATATACCTCAATTAGAATTTTGCTTGCCTTAACTGCTCATTTTGACTAGAATTTGATCAACTTGATGTTGAAACTACTTTTCTAATTGGCGATCTAGATAAAGTTATATATATGAGCCAGCCTAAATATTTTGAAATTAAGTCAACATCTAGGAATATTTGTTTGTTAAAAAAATATCTATATGGTTTGAAACATGCTCCTAGATTTATATAAGAAATTTAACTCGTATGTTCAAACTTTGGGATTTGTTAAGTGTAATTTTGATTCATGTATCTTTTATAAAGGTTCAAGTGGTTCTGAATTTATTTATCTTCTGTTATACTCTTTTTTGTGAATCAGTTTTTATATGTGAATAAAGCACTTGAAAAAATCTCTATGATTTAATGCAAGCATGTTATAGTGCCTCTTGCAAATCACTTTAAACTCTCAAGTGAACAATCGACTAAAACATATGAACTTAAACTCTCTTGCTCATTTTATGCTTATGCTAATATTGTTGGATCTATTATGTATTTAATGGTATGTACAAGATCTGATTTGACAAATGGCATAAGTATTTTGAATAGATTTATGCAAATCCTGGTGAAACATACTGGATTGTTATAAAATAGATGCTAAGATATTTAAAAGGTTCATCTAAGTTAGGACTGAAGTTTAAAACGTATAATTAAGGAATAATTTTGAGGGGCTATACGGATTCTGATTTTGTAGGTGTCTTCTTATATTTTCAGACTTTGTGATAGGTGCATTAGTTGGAAATTTCAATTGTAGAATATTGTGACTCTTTCTTCTACTATGGTAGAATACATAGCAGTCTGTGATGCTGTTAGAGAAGGACTGTTTGAGGGAATGATTAAAAGAAATTGGTTGTATTGATAAAGTTATCGGATTATATACTCAAAACAAAAGTGTTATTCATCTTAATAAGAATCATATGCATCAAGATAAAACTAAGCATGCAGATATAAATTTATATTTTGTAACGGACATCATAGAAAAATGTACGACCACTTTAGTAAAGATTCCGACTAAGCTTAATACTTCTGATCTTGATACCAAATTTCTTCCATTACATAAGTTTAGAAACTTCTTGAAAATTCTAAATATTACTTTAAAGGTAGTATATTAAGAAGATCAAGCTCTATCGATTTTTGTTTTTGACTAACTTTTTTTTTTAAAATGGGTTTGCCGGAGCATATGAAACGAAGTTGGTGCTGTTCCAGAAAATTGAATAAAGCCAAAATAAGTTCAGCAAGATGGCGATCGTTGAAAATTATTGATTGCCTTACTATTTTGACTTTAGACCGGACTTTTGACAACTGTATTGAAATCGTACTTTCATGAAATGCAATTTTGGACTTACGAATTGTTGAAATTTGGCCTTACATGTGGCGTGTTTATGGGCATTGGATATGTGATTTTCTAGACCATATAAAAGGCATCTCCTGGGCCTTTTTACACACAGTTTTACTTGAGGAGCCCTTTATAAGATTTTCGCTCTAGTTTTTCTCACTGAATTGTCTTCATTTTGCGTATGTAATCTTGTGTGGATTCCATATTATGTACTGAGTGTACATTTTCAGATTGAGTAAAGGTTTACTGTGGTAAACTTGATTTATTGTAGGGCGAGACATAACTTGAAGAAATCTGTATGTTGGTATTAAATAGTCCCAAGAATAACCAAAATAACAAGAACAAATACAACACAAACGATTTTTCGCCCTTATGCTCGAATGTTCACCACAAAAATGGCTACTCACCCGTTGAGCATACATCGAAGTGATTATCGCTCTAATCCACTAGAAATTAACAGAAGTTTATCAAGTACAGATCAGAGACCCAAAAGAATCACTCGACTCAACCTTCAGCCCTTATCTCTCTATTTCTCTCCTATTACAGATTACACACACTAGCCTAGATTTCATCTCACCAAGAACACATGAATCATAACCAGAACAGTAATCTATACAAAGACATCACCAAGATTATCTAACCTCAAGATTACAGATGAAAACCAAAGGTTTTCATCAAGAGAGAAAAGCTACAGAGAGAAAATATCAAAGTGAGCCAAGCCTTAGAATAATCGAATTACAGCCAAAATGGAAGAGTCTCGAATATGTAGAGTCATCATGCATCCAACGATCCGCCACTACCACGTGTTACAATCTCAGCCAGTTTACTTATTAGAACCAAAGTAGCATAACAAAAATGCGAGAATGAACACATAAGTGAGCCAAACCGGGTCACACTCAAAACAAGTAAATGGGCTGTCAAAATTTGGGGCTTCATCATTGGGCTCTACAGTAGATGTTAAGCATACATATTAACAATCTCCACCTTGCTTGACATCTTCGGGTTTCATATGGATTAGAGGTTAACACATCCTTCGATTTCATTTGCTCAAGTACCTGCAAAAGTATTAATCAGTAATGATATTTAGAAGATTTAAACAATCCCTAAATTTATATAAAGGAAGTATTTTAGTTCCCATATCTGCTGGATTACACTTAGTAGAAATCTTCTCAATTTTGATAATTTCCTTTTCTATAATCTCTCTTATGAAATGGAATTTAACATCTATATATTTTGTTCTATCGTGAAAAACTGGATTTCTGGTAATGTATATTGCAGATTGACTATCAGAGTAAACAGTAGCATCATTACCAGAGAAGCCAATTTCATCCAATAAATTTTTCAACCAAATACCTTCCTTTACTGCATCTGAGGCTGCAATGTACTCAGCCTCTATGGCAGAAAGAGCTATAATTTTTTGCAGCTGTGATTTCCAGCTTATACGGGTGTTATTAACAGTAAAAACATAGGCAGAAGTAGATTTTCTATTGTCACAATTACCAGCAAGGTCAGAATCAACAAAACCTTTAAATTGAATTCCAGTTTCACTTTTACAAAACATTAAACCCAGATTAGAAGTTCATTTTAAGTATTTCAACAACCATTTTAATGCTTCCCAATGATATTCATCAGGATTGCTCATATATCTACTTAAAGTACTTATAGCAAAAGCAAGATCAGTTCTTGTGCAGACCATAACATACATAACTGAACCAATAACATTTGCATAAGGGACCTTATCCATTCTATTTCTTTCAATTTCAGATTCAAGGCATTGTTCCACAGAAAATTTAAAGTGACTGGCAAGTGGTAAAGTAACATCTTTAGCCTCATTCATAGAAAATCTAGTTAACATCTTTAAAATATAAGCATGTTGTGTGAGAAAAGTGTGAGATCAGATATGCTTCTTCTAATCTCCATACCTAGGATCCTTTTAGCTGAACCTAGATCCTTCATTTCAAATTCTTGTTTAAGTTTTTGCTTGATGTTATTAATTTCATCAACATCACCGCCAGCCAGCAACATGTCATCCACATAGAGTAAGAGATAATAAGAATTTAGACCTCCTTTTCCTTTATAGTAAAAACATGGATCATATTCACTTCTATTAAAATCAAGGCTTTTAATAAATGTGTCAAATCTGATATACCATTGTTGATGTGCTTGTTTTAAACCATAAAGTGATTTTTTTTAAGAAAAAACACACAGCTTTCTTTTCCTTTTTGCTCAAAACCTTTTGATTGAATCATATAAATTTTTTCATCTAAATTTCAATACAAAAAAGCTGTTTTCACATTTAATTGTTCTAACTCAAAATCAAATTGAGAAACAATTGATAACAAAATTCTTATGGAGGTAAACTTGACTACCGGAGAAAAAAATTTCATTATAGTCAATTCACTCCCTTTGGTTAAACCCTTTAGCAACCAGCCTGGCCTTGAATCTAATACTTCCATCCTTAGGGTCACCTTCCTTGATCTTATAAATCCATTTGTAGTCAATGACTTTAACCCCTTTTGGTTTATTGACTAAAATCCAAGTCTTATTCTTTTCTAAAGACAACATTTCATCTCGCATGGCTTCAAGCCACATAGTAGCATTTTTTCCTTCAACAACCTCTTCATAAAAAGTAGGATCACCTTACAAGAGACCATGAATGTTAAGGGCAGTTATAAAATCAGGTTCACTGTACTTAGCAAGTGGTCTTATTTCCCTTCTGGTTTTATCTCTAGCCAAATAATAGTCTTCTAAAGGGTTTATGTGATGATCAGGTTCAGTTTCAAGGTTAGGTTCAATGGTCTCTTGTTCAGTTTCATGCTCGACCTCAAACTGATCTTCATTTCCAGTATTGAAATCAGTTGGAGAAAGTTCTGTTTGAATAGTGCTTATATTTTGATCAGTTTCAGTTGGAGCAGTCTCTTTTCCTTTAAGTCAAGGCATGTCTAACTCATTAAATACAATAGTTCTACTTATAGTGACTCTATAACCTCCTCCTTCAGCCAAACCCTATAACCTTTCACACCTTCCCCATACCCCAGGAAAACACCTTTTATGGACCTAGGCTCCAGTTTACCTTCATTTTGATGTACATAGGTAGCACAGCCAAAAGTTTTAAGTTTAGAGTAGTCAGCAGGTTACCATTCCAAATCTGGTCAGGTGTGTCATAGTTCAGGGATTTTGTAGGACATTTGTTTATAAGGTATGAGGCAGTTTTGACAGCTTCTCCCCAAAAAGGTTTTGGAAGACCTGAACTAGTTAACATACACCTAACTCTCTCTAAAAGTGTCCTATTCATTCTTTCAGTCAGACCATTCTGTTTTGGGGTATAGGTGACAGTTTTATGTCTAAGAATCTCATTGTCTTTGCAAAAATTATCAAACTCCTCATTGCAAAATTAAGGTCATTATCAGTTCTAAGGGTTTTAAACTTCTTATTTACTTGATTTTCAATAAGAGTTTTCCAAGCAACAAAGTTTTGAAAAGTATCAGATTTATTTTTCAAAAGAATGACCCAACTTTTCCTTGACAAATCATCAACAATCAGAAGATAGTACCTAAAACCAAAATAAGTATTCACAAATGTTGGTCCCCAAAGATCAACATGCAGATAATCAAATATAAATTTTGACTTATGTGTACCTGTAGCAAAAGGCAGTTTCTTCTGCTTACCATATATGCAATGCTCACAAGAAGATACATTTTCAATCTTTTTATTTCCTAAGAGTCCTTATTTCTTAAGAATATGTAGATTCTTATCACTAATGTGTCCTAATATTTTATGCCAAATTTCAGAATTATCAGACAGTGTGACAGTGGCAGCAATGTCCTGTTTCTTTTGATGTAATACTTTCAAAATATAGATCCCATTTGATTTTTCAACTTGAAAAAGTTTTGCAAAATTCTTTTGAAGCATCAAAGTGCCTTGATTAGTAGTTGTGTTAAAACCTTCATCATCAAGAGTGCCTAAAAAGATTAAATTTCTCTTTGAGCTTGGAATGTATCTGGTTTTGTTTAGGACCAATTCATTTTCATTGTTAAGTTTTAAAACAATATTACCAATACCTTTAATTTTGCAAGAAAAATCATTTCCCATTATTACTTGTCCTCCATTTGTCTCTAAGAATTCAGTGAAAGGTTTCTTATATGGGATCATGTGAAAAGTACATCATAAATCTAAGATTCACTCATCTTTAGAGGCCGATTGACATGTCACATAGAATTATTATTCATAAGCTATTACAGCTTCACCCTCAATTTTATTACAATTTTTCAGTTCATCCATTCTCTTGAGACAATCTTTAATATAGTGACCCATTTTCCCACAGAAATAACATCTTTTTCCTTTAACCTTATTATCAAATTTATTGAATTTAGATTTGCTTTTTGAAAAGTTTCCAGTATGCTCTTTTGATTTCCAAGAATTTTTATTTGAAAACTGATTGTTGTTCTTCTTGAAGGGATAATTGCCTTTTATGTTGTACCCAACTCCAGTATTGGAGGTTTTTGATTCAATCTTGAATTCAAGATCTTTATTCCTTAAAGAAGACACAACATCATCAACAGTAATAGAGGTTCTCCCATATTCAAGAGCATTCTTAAGTTCCTTATATTTTTCAGGTAAAGATGATAATAAGGCTACTGATTTCTGATTATCATATAGAGTCTCACCACTGTTTATGAGATCTTGGGTCAATTTATTAAATCTGTCCAAATTTGTTTCAAGATCACAATTAGAGTCAAGTTTAAAACCGAAAAACTGTTTCCACAAGTAACATTTATTGGGAAGAGTTTTGGTTTTTTATAAAGATTCAAGTTTAGTCCAAATTTCAACTGCAGTATTAGTGTCACCTAATTCTCTAATCACATTGTTTGTTAAATGTAGAAATATAGTACTCCAAGCAATTTCAGTTTGTTCAGTCCTTTTGGTTTGAGTGGTTTCATCACCCCAAGTCTCATTTAAGGATTTAGCACATTTTTGTTGTAACAATAAGGCCTTCATTTTTTTTACTCCAAAGACTAAAATCACCCTTATCATTCCAAGTTTCTATGTCAATCTTTGAACTAGTCATATTATTTACAGTGTGATGCAAACAGTAGTAACAAGTATCAAGATAGTATGAGTTTATAACAAAGTACACACCAAATGTTTAAAAATACAGATAATCTTCACACAGGAAAAACACTTATGCATGTGAACAGAGAGAGCAAATTGTCATGTAACAAACAAATCACAGAGCTTTATCAGTTTTTGAAAAACATAGGTGGATCATATTCTTGAAGGAGCCGTTAAACCTTGTCCCCTCAGATTCTAAGGTTCTTTTATGAAACCCCAGATAAAGGAAGATCAAAGTGGGTTCCAACCAAGAAGACAAAGACAATTGATGTTTCGAAAAATAATGACTAAGTTAGGGTTTAGAAATTTGTTACCATACACGTCTCAGTGCAATAGTGTAAAATAGTGAAAACCAGACTATTTTACTTTCCACAAAAGTCGAAGATCTAGTCTCTTCTGAATAGATCCGTAAAGGATCAACTGCTAGATTCCAGAAGAATGCCCAAGGGTTTTAGATCAGAGGTTTCCAAGAACAGATTGAGAGCTCTGATACCACTGTTGGTATTAAACAGTCCTAAGGATAACCAAAATAACAAGAACAAACACAACACAAACGATTTTTCGCCCTTAGGCCAAGATGTTCACCAAAAAAATGGCTACTCACCTGTTGAGCATACACCGAAGTGATTATTGCTTTAATCTACTAGAAACCAACAAAAGTTTATCAAGTACAGATCAGAGACCCAAAAGAATCACTCGACTCAACCCTCAACCGCTATCTCTCTATTTCTCTCCTATTACAGATTACACACAGTAATCCGGATTTCAGCTCACAAAGAACACAAGCATCATAACCAGAACTGTAATCTATACAAAGACATCACCAAGATTATCTAACCTCAAGATTACAGATGAAAACCTTTGGTTTTCATCAAGAGAGAAAAGCTACGGGAAGAAAATATCAACGAGAGCCAAACCCTAGAATAATCGAATTACAACCAAAATGGAAGAGTCTTGAATATGTAGAGTCATCATGCATCCAATGATTCAGCCACTACCACATGTCACAATCTCAACCAGTTTACTTAATAGAACCAAAGTCGCATAACAGAATTGCAAGAATGAACACATAAACACATAAGTGGCCAAATCGAGTCACGCTCAAAACAAGTAAATGGGCTGTCAAAATTTGGGGCTTCATCATTGGGCTCTACAATAGATGGTAAGCATACATATTAACACTGTGATTGTTTTGAACATTTGTATTGACTGATTCTTGGCTTGATTTAGTGATCTGAAGCAAAATCTATTATATAGATGCTCAACGGGTCAATAGAGTTTAGAACACGTGAGCATTTGAACTCGTTAGTGGGTGAAAAATTCTTGAGTTTGATTTTTTACTTTCTGTAGTTTTTGATTTTTGCAATTACTTTGTTAAATCTTCGATTTTAGGACCAACAAAACCTTCATTTAAGACCTACTATTATGCTCCAACCTCTATTTCAATTCACAACTACAGCACATACATTACAGTAAAGCCTATCATTCATTCATTTGGTATTTTTATTTTTTACTGTAATTCATGTAGAAAAAAAACAAATGGATTTCTAAACTAAAAAAATCCAATCACTGATACTGAAATCCTGTAAAAAAATAAATTCAATGTTTTATATTATGAAAAAATAAAAGATTTCTTGTCGAATACTTAGTCCCAGAAAAATAATTGCGTTACTTTGAAAAACAACGTTAACCCATACCAATTTCTCAGGCTAAAGATAAGTTGCCAGACTTCTATATTGTGGTTCTCTTTGCTTCAAACGGGAAAAAATATGTACTCTAAAGCAGTGTGATGCTTTATGCAGGTAGAGTTTCACCAAGTTTTGCACCCACCCCTAATTTTTACCTCACTACACTTTAATTGACAAACAACTAACTCACATTTTCTTCTCTTTTTGGTGTTGATGTCATAAAACAACACTCGCGAATTTTGTCAACACTATCCTCAATATTTTCAACCCATGATTTAAAATCAAATTAAATATATGGACATAACCGCGCATGTTAAAAAATTCAGCATTCAATAACTTGGAAGCATTTTCTATTGTAAAAATTATAATCCATCGATCCCTATTTATATCCCTCCAAGTCAATGATCAATTCTATGGAACTTTAATCGTGATAGTGATTTTGTAAATATGTGGACTAGTTTGCTATTTTCTAGTTCTTCTATTTTGCAGTACTTGAGTAATATATCTTTATTTCAGCTTCTCTAATGAAGTGATACTTTATGTTAACTAGTTAGAGTTGAATGTGCGTTGCACGTTATTCAAAAATAATTTATAAGTACGGCGAAAGTAATATTTGACCCTCAATTTATCCTTTGAATCAAAATATGAGAGATATGCAAGCGTCTGAAAATAGATATTAATTAGTATATATGCACGTAACTAGTGAAATGTATACTTGAATGTGAGTATTAGAATTATAACTAAATACATAACAAATATGAATAACAAATACGATACATAAATTAACGTGAATATTAATTAATTTAGAATTAATACCAATGAACGAATGATTAGGGGTGGATATTAATTAATTTTTCAATTCTCCACATTTTTGTTGGGTGACCATTAGGGGTGAACGTGGTTCCATTTGGTTCTAGTTCCAAGAGGATCGAGCCGAATCATGAGCGAATGATTTTTTTATAATGGAACCAAATAGTTTTTTTTTAAGATGCAGAACCGAACTGAACCGAACCATTTGATTCTGGTTCGGTTTGGTCTGGTTCTAGTACTATTACTTAAATTTTCAGACTTGCATCATATCCATAAGTTACTAATGTATACTTAAATAAAAAAAATATAAGCATCAAACATTTAGCAAGTTCAAGTTATCAATAATCAAGATCATAGAAGTCCAAACTAACAAAGAAAATATAAATGAATGAGTCATTGCGATAAGTTAATAATATCGTGGTTTATTTTCATCCTTCGTCCAATCAGTTCATTTACATGAAGCTGTTAGACATACATGAGAAAAATAAAATATGAAAATGAAATATAAAGTTTAAACTCGAAACTAATAGGCTGGGGTGGTGACAAAATGACCAAGTCAAACAACTTAGCCTTTAGCCCCTTACCATTAGATAACCATTAAACGTTTAATACTCTATCACTTGTGTTGTAACTTTGAGAAACTCTATAAACATAATTTAAAACACACAATTAAAACAAACAAACA